GAGAAGGTAACTGGAAGATGAGCTTTAAGCTTCAGCCTAACGTCAACGGCACAGCCTCACCAGGGTCAGCACATGGGACAGCTACTTGTCCAGGACCCATTTCCTCCAAGATGCTTTAGATTGCCCTACTTTTCATTTCAGCCATGACAGATGGCTTATCAAGAACAAATAACTCTGTGAGCAGTAACGAGGAGAGGAGAGTGGCCAGAGGACCTCCAAGGCAGAGGAGGTTTTTTGTTCCTACCCACCTCTTTAAGACAATGAAAGCTTGTTCCTACGCAGAATATTTTCCAAAGTTTTCGATGATGTGTCAACAGGTGTTTTTTCCAAGTTTGGTTTTTGCATACTGCTTTCCCCTCACTGCTCTGATTGCTGAAAGTTGCATCATGCCCTTGGAAAGTGGAGCATCGGTCCCTGATCTCCTGCTGGAGAATAATTATTCTCTGAATGTGGACCTGGAAAATTCCGTCTTTAACAAACCTACCCCACTTGCTTTAGCTTGGTCTTAAGGGGAAGGGTGAGGGAAGGCAGTTCTTTCATGCAAAATCAAAACAACCCAGAATTAATATCAACTCTGTTTACCCTGAGGCACCAATGTTGTAGTCTGGGTTTTTGTTAAAAATAAAAGTTTCAGCATTTCATTATTAACAAACCCTGTAACAATACAGATGCTCTTTTTGTCATTGTTATAGAGTCAGCATTGGTTTCCTCCCCCAGACCCCCAACACCCCCAGTTTCATGCAACAGTGTGGAGGGTGGTACGGGGGGCAGGTGGATTTGAAAAGAGGACGTTCCAGTCTGCTCAGCTTCAGGCCTGTGTGGGCAACAGCTGAGAAAGGAGGCTGCAGCTCATCCCGAGATGCCACGTGTTGACAAGGCAGCTGGGGGATTCTAGGAAACTAGCGTCTATGTGAAACTACTTGGCTGCAGGCTGTCCTTACACAGACAGATCCTTGAGGTGGATCTCATTATCCGTAGTTTTGCGATCCCCAAACAGTGAAATAGAAGTTCGGAGAGGTTGATAGTTAACCCAGGGTTACTTACCTAAGATTCACTTCTCTATTTAAAAGCCTTCATTGATCTCCTATATCTTTACAGAAAAAACAAAAACAAAACCGAACTTCCTTCCAGGGCCCTTCTCACCCTATCTTCCCAGCCTCATTTCATACTCTCCATCCCATGCATGGGGCCTGGGTTACGAGAAGCACCTGGGCCTCCCCCAGCAGGCGCTGACCACCTTTGTCCAGCCTTGCTGCCTTGCATCTGTTATTTCTGTCTCCAAAGCCCTGGCTTTAGAACCACCTGGCAAATGTCTGCTCATTTCTTCAATTGTGCTCAGGTGTGACCTCATCTTCCAGGCAGTTCTCCCGACCTCATCCTGAGTTGGGACTCTGGCTTAAAAGCCCCTGTGGCCCCCCGTGCTTTGTGTATCCTGCACGATGCTGTGCAAATCTGACCACTAGTCATTTCAAGACTAACACTCCTCAGTGGCTTCCCATCACCCACAGAATAATGTCCAAAGCGTAGCATCAGATCTGTGGCCCTCTTGCTGTGAACGCTTCCCCTCACTTTTTCTTCTAGAACTGCATTGACCAATTTGGTAGCTACTAGCCCTGTGTGGTTATGTAAATTTAAAGAATTTAAAAATAAATAAAATGGAAAACTCACTTCTTAGTAACATTAGCCACATTCCAAGTACTCAGTAGAAATGTTTGGCGTGTGGTTACCATGTTGGAGAGATTTAGAGAACATTTCCGTTGTCAGAACATTAGAACAGAACAGAAAGTTCTATTGGACAGCACTGTTCTAGAACCATCTACCCCCACTTCCTGTACCGCCTCTGTGTCTTTACTTTTGCTGGTCCCTCCCCAGTCCTTTTTAAACCCCCAAGTCTGCCCCTTCTAGTCCCAGCTGGGCAAACTGCAGAACCTCATGCCTGAGGAATGGCCTTCACTAATGCCACTGTCCTGTTTTTACCTTATCAGGTGGTAGAGCGTCCCTGCTGGATTAAAGGTGATTTGGGCTCTATTTGGAGGTTATCATTTCAAGGCCACCAAATTCCATTGGTTTGAGTGGAAAGACACAGCTACTGTAGAATGTTTTTCACCTTCTATTGACCTGGGACCCCATGATTCATCTGCAGCGACAGCTTCCATACCACAGTATCATCAGAAAGATCTCAGCATCCTTATTGGCATTCTATAGAAGCCTTAGTGACAATTCTGAGCTGATGGAAGGGTCTTATGCATCATGAATATGAATATCATTATTCAAATGCCTCTGGTAGATGTCAAAGATAAAAGGAAACGTTTTATTTTGTGTTCATTAAGCACTAGAAGGTATGTTTCCCCTGGATGAGACTCATTAAGCCTGTAATGGTTAATGGGAGTTAAATTCCAACATCACATCAAGGAGGAGAAATGATCCCTCAAGTATTTGGAAACTCCTTCCTCCAAATTGCAGATCAAAGCTAGGTTATGAACTTCTGTGCTGTCTTGCTAATGGATTAGACTAACTGCATTCTTTGAATTTTTTTTCCTTTCCAAACACTAACTTTCCCTAAGTAGAGATGATTACAGAAATTTTGTAAGCGTGAGGGATTGTGAGGTCTACCAGAGCCAGCCACTGTTACCAGGTTTCCCTCCAGGCGAGAGAAACTAAAATTGTATAAACGGCAGTTCTATATCAGGGGCTTTACTTATGCCCTCTCACATCTCATAGAATCCCAGTGAGATGTTTGCTTCTGTCTTATCCATGAGGAAACTGAGGCCTGGACGGTGACGTAACCTACTTCAAATCACACGGCTGATAGGAGGATGAGGCAACAAGCCCGGTGCTGTCTGGTTTAAAAACACATTCTAATCCACCGTTTTGGGCCAGCTCCCAAGTGTCTGTCAGATACCTACTCTGTGATAAATTTTACATACGGGGCTGTGGTAGGCACCCAAGAAGAGGAAAAACAGAGCTAAAAGGATTGCCAGAGAGGTGTGATTGATTCACACGAACTCATCCAGGCTATCTGCTGATGTGGTTTTCTCTCCTGCTGATGAAAAAATGAATGAATCCCAGATCATGGTGAGCGAGTAGCTAGGAAAGTGCCCTTGAGGTGCCTTGGGAGAGGAAGGGGGAGGTCAGGGGTGTGGACAGCACTGAGTGGTGTCCTCAGCGTGCTTGTGGGATGGGACCTTCCTCCCTGCATCTCACCTCACTGTGCGGGAGGCTTCTGGTGACTTCTGGAAGGAGAGACCTCAGAAAGCTCAGCCCCATTCAGAGTTTAATAACATTTAAGACAAAATGTCTCTGCTGCTGAAGATGGAGGAGAAAATGGATCCCTGCTCTCCTTACACCATCTTCCTGCGACTGCTTCTGGGCTCTAAGTAGAACTCAGCCCAGCTTTGTCGTCTTCCCTCCCAGGACCCATTCAGTGGGTCTGGATAATATTTGTGCTTCTCTCCTTTGTGCTCTCTTTGGCTTATCCTGTCTGGAGTGAAATGTGAGGCCCAGGGAAAAAAAGAAATGGATTTGCAAAGCAATACTTGGAGTAACAGATGACCCTGCTGAGACCCCACCTGGAAGACTGTGCTCAGCTCTGAGCATCTAATTACCAGCCGGGTACCGACAAATGGGGTGAGTGTTGGGAGGAAAGATACAAGAGTGATGGAGGACTTATAAAACTGGATTTATGAAGAAAGATTAAAAGAGCTGAATGGTGGAGACCCATAAATGATGATCTGGGGGAACTCAGGGACCATCTACTCATATCTGACGGTCGCAAACAGTCAGCAGAGTAAGAATTATTTTGCTTAGACCTAAGAAATACAACAACGGGTAATGAAAAGAAATATATAACAATAATAGACTGTAATTTTATACCTATTCCCATCCCAAGAAACCTCAACACATTTTATAGCTCAGTATAATATATACCCTACAGTGGGGTGTATTGAGGCTATAAAGCGGCTTGTAATTTAGATAAAGCTTTTGCAAAATAATAATATTTAGTGAGAGGGTAATGGGCACTTTGTGTATGAAGTGCAGAGCCCTGGTTACGTTTTGCCTGCTGCCTACTTACGGGCAGAGTGGAAGTGGACGAGAGGATTGCTTTGTATAAGTAAGACCACTTACCAAGTTTTCTGCTGCCATTTTCAGAGACACACACAATTCAACCCTGTTTTACAGAAAAAAGAAAACCTTCCTAGTCCGAGAAATACAGGTCTCCGAAAACCACAGAGGCTGCTGCTACAGCTCAGCTCTGAACACACGCTCCGGTTGTCAGCTACCTGCCAGAGCGGCAGGGACCAGGGACCACAGCCAGACCTCTGGGTCTCTACCCTGCTCCCCTCCAGACCCTGGACCCTTAGGAATTGGGCAGGGTCCCTTGTCTCTCTCTCTGGACCTCAGCTTTCTCAGCCTTCACTGGAGGAGGCAAATCTCTGTCCCTTTTCTGAAGGTGATGCTGAGCAGTGCTGAGACTTGCCTTTTGCTGTTCCCTCTGCCTAGAATGCTCCTTCCTCCAATATCCACATGACTTACTTCCTCACTGCATTCAGCTTTCTGTTTAAACGCCAAATTGTAGACAGACTGCATCTGGCGACCCTTCTACAAGAGCAATACCCTCGCCACTTCGTTACCCTCCAGCCCCTTACCTTCATTTTTTAAAATTTATTTATTTATTTTTTTTTGCAGTACGTGGGCCTCTCACTGCTGTGGCCTCTCCCGCTGCGGAGCACAGGCTCCAGACGCGCTGGCTCAGTGGCCATAGCTCACGGGCCCAGCCGCTCTGCGGCATGTGGGATCTTCCCGGACCAGGGCACGAACCCGTGTCCCCTGCATCAGCAGGCGGACTCTCAACCACTGCGCCACTGGGGAAGCCCTCCTTCATTATTTTTAAGGCATATTTATCAACATTTGAAATATATCATATATCATATCATATCATATATCACACATTTTATGTCTCTTTTGACTAGAACGTAAGTTCCTTCAGGAAAGGGGCTTACCTGTTCCATCCACTGTGGCATCACCAGCAGCAGTAATGTCATTGGATGCTACACTTAACCTTCCCCAAATGATTTGACCTTTCCAAATGACATCGGGATCTATAAGGAGAGAGGGGGAGAGAGGGTCTCAAAGAGAAGGAATAATTGCAAACTGAAGGAAGTCATAGGCTCCAGAAACTTTGTTCTTTTATCACTTCTCCTGCCCCTTGTAAGTGGGACCAAGAGGTCTGCCCTTACTTGCTGAGCTGTTGTGCAGAGAAAAGCCTTCTACAAAAACAAAGCTGAGCGTCACCTCCCTGACTCTCTGAGGCACTGCTCAGGAGACGGGGAGAATAAGCCAAGGCCACATGGCCTTTCTGTCACACGGCCTCACAGCGTGTCCCTGGAGGTTTTGTGTCTATGTCTGCTCCACCCTTGATTAAATGAAGTGGTTTCAGAGGCTCCCCGCATGACGAGTAGCATACGGCGGCCTCACCTCCCAAGACAACAAGTCACTTGCTTGTTCTGCTTCTCAAATCTCCTATGCAGCTCTCGTGAGGCCCCCACCAAGGATGGTGTCCGCCTCCTCCAGGTTCCCATATCGCTACCTGGCATACTGTTGACTCTGCATTAAGGACCATAAATGAAAAGGATGCTGACACCTGCCAATAAAGGAACCAGAGGGGAGAAACCTCTGAATCCTCTTGATGCTTCAGCAACTTACAGGTTCAGGACAATCACTGAAAACTTAGGTTGGGAAACACATTGCCAGCCATTAAGATTCTTAACCCGGTGGGAGGCAGGAAAAGCACAGCAGCAAAGCGCCTCTTCCACTCTCCTGGCTACTTGGAACAGCGAGACATACAGCCAGTCGAAGTACACATTGTGCAAACAGCCTGTGCCAGAGACTTCAGGTGCCTGTGATCGTCAGCAGAGGGGAGTTGGCCTGGATTTATAGATTTCCCTAGGATGAGATCGTTACTTTATACATATATCCAATCCTGCATGAAAAGTTTCTTTATGATCCCTTTACAACTTTCTGCAAGTTTATGCAAAGTAGAAGGCAAGGAGCTTATAGACATAAAACTTGGACTCCGGTAGGAGATGACCATGGGTTCCAAGATAGTTCTAAAATTTCAGGCTTTAAATCTGGTTCCTGCAATGTGAAGTTTCCTCGAGTTGTAATCTTGTGCCTCAGTGTTCCTATCTATAAATTGGAGAGAAGTTCACTAGTGTATCCCATAGGACTATTATAAGGGCAAGAATTTTAAGAGATTAAAAACATGCTGCAGACATAAACTACATGTGCAATGTATAAGGTTCCCTTATTCTGAGACACCAAAAAGATACATCAAGTAAACTCCCTTTGCTAATATTTACTGAGCATATGCTGTGGGTGGCCAGGAAGTGATAGGGGAGGGGGGTGGACCAGTCTCAGACACTAAACCTCCAGGGACATGCTGTGAGGCTGCGTGACAGAGAGGACATTTGGGCTTGGCTTTTTCTCCCCATCTCCTGAACACTGCCTTGGATATTCAGAGTTGATACTCCCCCTCATTTTTGCAGAAGGTTTTCTCTGTCCAACAGCTCGGCAAGCAAGGGCAGAGCCCTTGGTCCCACTTACGAGGGAGAGAAGAAATGATAAAAGAACAAAGTTTCTGGAGCCCATTAACTTCCCTTGATTTGCAAATTATTCCTTCTCTTTGAGGACCGCGCCCCCCACCCCCGCCATCTTCTTACAGACCCAGATGTTATTTGAGAAGGTCAAATTAGAAATACAAGACCAAAAAAGCCAGGTGCCAGTTAAGAAGTACCTTTTCTGAAAGAAAGCATTAATGGAGCCACCTCAGATGCTCTGTGCAGACTTTCCACACTAGGTGGGTAATGATGAAGGGACCCCTCTTCTTTCTTTTTCATCAAAGATACCCATTTTCCTTTTCGGTTCTTCACCTGGCAGTGTGGAGAGTTCATTAACCGGCTGGCCAAAGGGAGCCCGTTGGGCAATGTGCTTTAGAAGGGAAGGAATTAGGTCTATTTGATGTTTGAGGCTACATTTTGTGGGAAAAAATTACACAGATAGATTTATTTTGGCTCCCGAAATGGTGAATGACAGAGTTGAAAGTTCAGTGTGATTTGGGCATTGCGGCTGCCTCGGTGAGCCTGTGCTGAGGTGAAACCTGGACCATAAAGTTCTCTAAAAGAGAATGTCCTGCTCCATTTGCGGAGAAATTCTATCTGAGTCATATGTCAGATGTCACAGTCAGATGTCATTCTGAACATGCACAGAGGTAAATAAATCCAGAGATGAAAGTGGCAGGATGTGGGCAGCATTCTGAGCATTGGGTGGAGGGATAATTTTAATTGAGTTCAGTATGTGTAATTTTGTGTGTGTGCAAATGATTTTTTTGAGGCTCTATCAAGCTTTAATTTAGGAACGTAAAGTTGGTCTATAAGAGTTAATGGGCTCTAATTTTAACATGAAACACGGAAGCAGGGGAAACTGTGCGGAGTTATGGGAAAAGTAACCACATATTTGGAATCAGATGCTGGCTTCAAACCCTGACTCGGCTTCTTATTAGGTGTTGTGACCTTATGCAAGTTGTTTAAAAACCTGCAGCTTCTGTTTCTTCACCAGTAAAAGGGAATAATATCATCTATTATAAGCCCGAGAATTCAGTGATATTATATATGTAAAGCTCCCAGCACACGGGATGCACTCAATTAACTTTAACCTCTTTCCACCCTCTGTCTACCTTAAGATGCATCAGATGAAATGCACAGCCAAGGTTAATGGAGAAGGCTCTGTTTCCTGCGTGAGTGAGCTGTTGCTGATTGTGCCTCCAGGTACCCCGGTCTCACGGTGGCTAGATCAAACCCACAGCCTCAGGAGGCTTCGGGGCCCCCAGGGGGCTCTGGGCAGCTGCTCACTGCACACCAACTCCGTTTAGAATCCAGATCCCTTAATGCTTCATTCCTCTTTGGAGATGTGATATGACCTTGGGGAAGTCAGCCTTACCTGGGCGTGGGGAGCCTGGATGATCAGTGAAGCGACCAACCACACCTCTCTTCCATGCTTGCTGCATGGTCAGGCACGTGCACTTCCACCTTGGGTCCCAGAGAAGAGAGAGGTGTGGGGTGCTCAATGGCATTCTCAGAACTCCTGCAGGAAGCCTTGCTCTCGTGGTGCTGCTGGGGAGTAACCACAGGCTCTGCGGAGGACTGGAATACAAGCCACTCCTATCTCCCTGTGACCTGTGACACTTCTTTCCTCCTGAGTGAATGTTCTGAGCAGTTACGCCCTCCCTGCCTTGGCAGGACAGGTGTCATTCTGTCTTGTGAAGCAGGGGAGAACTTTGCTTTCCACTTTCTCCTGCTTTCTCCTCCAACCTTTCGGATTCTCCTAGAGATTTTTCTGCTTACAATCAAGTCTTGTTCAACACAAACGAGAAAAATCACTTCCCTCAAGCTAATGGCCTCCACAGTCCTTAGAAATGCTGATACGTGTCTAGCATGGCTTAAAACCAACTCAGGACGCCCCTGTAGGAGATTTCCTAGTTGCAGGAAAGTGGGCTGGGGTGAGCTGGAAGTGATTTGGAAGTAAAGAGGAAAGCATGAGAGCCAGGGGGGCTGGGGTGCATGAGGAGGATTTATGAGAAGTAGAGAGGTGGGGTCTTTGAATAAGAAGTGGGATTCAGGGGAGGGAGGGATGTAACCAGACTGGTTGGTGAGCCCGGCTCTCTCTTAATTATACTGGGTTGGCCAAAAAGTTCATTTGGGTTTTTCTATAACATTGTTCTGTAAGAAAAAAGAGCAATTCTCACACAGGAGGAACCAAGATGGCAGAGTAGAAGGATGTGCTCTTACTCCCTCTTGCGAGAAGACCAGAATCACAACTAGCTGCTGGACAGTCATTGACAGGAAGGCACTGGAACCCACCAAAAAAGATACTCCACATCGAAAGACAAAGGAGAAGCCACAATGAGACGGTAGGAGGGGTGCAATCACAGTAAAATCAAATCCCTTAACTGGTGGGTGGGTGACTCACAGACTGGAGAATACTTATACCACAGGAGTCCACCCACTAGAGTGAAGGTTCTGAGCCACACGTCGGCTTCCCAACCTGGGGGTCGGGCAACGGGAGGAGGAATTCCTAGAGAATCAGACTTTGAAGCCCTGTGGGAATTGATTGCAGGACTTCAACAGGACTGGGGGAAACAGAGACTCCACTCTTGGAGGGCAAACACAAAGTACTGTGCATATCAGGACCCAGGGGAAGGAGCAGTGACCCCAGGTAAAACTGAACCAGACCTACCTGCTAGGGTTGGAGGGTCTCCTGCAGAGGTGGGGGGGTGGCTCTGTTTCACTGAGGGGACAAGGACACTGGCAGCAGAAGTCTGGGAAGTAATCCTTGGTGTGAGCCCTCCCAGAGTCTGTCATTAGCCCCACCAAAGAGCCCAGGTAGGCTCCAGTGTTGGGTTGCCTCAGGCCAAACAACCAACAGGGAGGGAACCCAGCCTCACCCATCAACAGTCAAGTGGATTAAAGTTGTACTGAGCTCTGCCCACCAGAGCAACAGTCAGTTCTACCCACCACCAGTCCCTCCCATCAGGAAACACACACAAGCCTCTTAGATAGCCTCATCCAGCAGAGGGCAGAGAGCAGAACCAAGAAGAACTACAATCCTGCAGCCTGTGAAACAAAAACCACATTCACAAAAGATAGACAAGATGAAAAGGCAGAGGGCTATGTACCAGATGAAGGAACAAGATAAAACCCCAGAAAAACAACTAAATGAAGTGGAGATAGGCAACCTTCCACAAAAAGAATTCAGAATAATGAGAGTGAAGATGATCCAGGACCTGGGATAAAGAATGGAGGCAAAGATCGAGGAGGTGCAAGAAATGTTGAACAAAGACCTAGAAGAATTAAAGAATAAACAAACAGATGAACAATACAATAACTGAAATGAAAACTACAATAGAAGGAATCAACAGCAGAATAACTAAGGCAGAAGAACGGATAAGTGACCTGGAAGACAGAATGGTGGAATTCACTGCTGTGGAACAGAATAAAGAAAAAAGAATGGGGCTTCCCTGCTGGTGCAGTGACTGAGAGTCTGC